GCCACGGGGGGAGCTTGTGGCTGAGCAAGGGAAGGGAATGTCGGAGAAGGCGATGGTGGTGCTGAGTAGCCTGGCGGCAATCGAGGAAGGCAAAGAGGCCATTGTTGAGGAAAGAGGGATAGCTGTGCTTGTGGAAGCCATTGAAGATGGTTCAGTTAAAGAGAAAGAGTTTGCGGTGCTGACGCTGTTGCAGCTCTGCGCTGATAACATTAGGAACCGTGGTTTGCTTGTAAGAGAAGGTGGGATTCCTCCACTCGTGGCTCTGTCTCAGGGCAGTTGCGTCAGCGTTCGAGCCAAGCGCAAGGTGAGAAAAGAGCTTAGCTGTTTCTTCTCGGTTGATGAATCACTTTGACTGCATAACCAAAATTCTCTGTTTGATTGTTAAATCCTACACTGTTAGGCTTAATGTTGTGGCAATTGCTTGCACTTAGCGTCAAGGGTTGGATTTACAGAGTTCGATTAGAAATATGAAAAAGCTCGAAACTTGATTGTTGTTCTTGTGGATCTTTTGATTCGGCAGGCAGAAAGACTTCTGGGGTATCTTCGAGAGCCGAGGCAAGAGGGGGGGTGTTCATCAAGTCCTTGAATTGATAACCATATCGTCCCCGACTCCATCAGCGTAGTGTGTGTATGTATGTATATATACCGAGTTCTCTATTGGAGGTAAGAAAACGATTCCCACGAATTTTTAAGGGGGTTGGTTGGCTACCGACTTTGATTAAAAAACGTAATGATGTTTAAGCTATAGTATTTTGGGATTACTCCCCCATCCTATGTATGGTGTTAGGCTTTGTGGGTTTTGGTCAGTGATGGGAGTAAATGGCTTGTGAAGATTTTATGGTCACAGCTTGTTATATGAAAAGCTTGTAGCTTTGGCCGTGAATGAAAGAAGTGAGCAATCCATATAAAGCATGCAGCTTGACTTTTTTTTTTTTTTGTGAGAAAGGGAAGAGAGCAGTACAAGAACATGGTGGAGGGCGGCTGTATATATATACGCCGTTGACAATGGGATGGGGCACAAATATTTAGTTCCAATTATCCGAATATAGAGACACAGAGACTCGAAAGCAAAGTAGAGAAGTTAAAAATAAAATGAATGTCAGACCACTAAATATTTGGTTCTTGGTATCATCTCATTTTCCCACGCATTTTTTTTTATATCATATTATTATTATGAGAACAAAAAAAAAAGGAAGCAAGAGTGTGACGATAATCATCTAGGCTGTATCAACGTCCTTTCTCTCGGCCCGCCGGCGCAACAGAGAAGGCTTGTAGCCGACCTCGAGCATCTTCTCCACCTCCTCGAACTGAAGTCCTTTGGTCTCGGGGACCAGCAGCCATATGAATATCAGTCCGATCGTCGAGAACAGCGCAAACAGAAGGAATGTGCCCGATGACCCGAGAGCGTGCGTCAACGTCAAGAACGTCTCGCTCACTATCAGATTCGATATCCAGTTGGAAACTGCTGCGATTCCTCCGCCGAGCCCTCTGTACCGAAGTGGGTAGATCTCCGAGTTCACTATCCATGGGACCGTACCCATTCCGGGGGAGTACATTATGATGTAGAGGCCGAGGAAGACCACGGCCAGGAACCCGAACTTGCTCGGACACCCGTCTTTGAAGAAGGTCCGGCCCTTTGAGTGGCACAGCTCCTTCGTCTCATCTGACAGGACCACACATGCTCCAGGTGCGTACTGATTGGTAATAAAGTTAACAGCTTTGCAGCGAAAACGTAGAGACGAGAAAAGGGTAAGACATACTTACTTCGTTAGAGTTGGAGCAGAAGCCGCATTCGGCTTTGAGACACTTCATGCAGTTCCACTTCAGTGGAGTAGGGTTGGGGCTTACGTAGGCGGGGCAAGTTGAGTTGGGAGCGAATGAAATTGAGTCTACTGGATCGATTTTTGGTGCATGGAGGGACGCTTGGCGGAACACGATCGACAAAATTACGAGACATGATATGATCCCGAACATGGAGATGATCATGAGCCGCCTTCGTCCATAACGATCCACGAACATCATACTGACGATAGACCCGACCGCGTTCAAGCCGGAAGTGACCAGTGATAAGGCGAGAGCTGTCTTGTTGGAGGCGAACCCTGCGAACTGGACAATGGAGGGACTGTAGTACATGACTGTGTTGATTCCAACGAACTGCTGAGCCACCTGGACCGTAATTCCGGCGGCGAGACCACGTCTGACAATGGGGTTTTGCAGGGCTCCTTTAAGTTTTTGGAAGAAGCCGTCTCCCATGGCGGCCTCATCGGCCTTCTCAGCTTCCACGGATTCTTTGAGAGCAGCCATCTCGCCCTCCACCTCCTCTGCCGGGTAGATCCTTTCGAGAATGGCTCTGGCCTCGGCGGTTCGGTCCTTTCTGTAGAGCCAGCGCGGAGATTCAGGCAGAGACAGCATCAGCACGAACTGAACGACCGCAGGTAGACCCGCCACCCCCAGCATCCACCGCCATGTGCCCCGAGCCTGTTTTATTCATTTTCCGGCATAGATTTCTGAGAATGTTTCGAATCATACAAACACGATTTTCATTTTGTGTTGGGACTTACGTGGACGAAGGCGAGGTTGATGAGGTAGGCCAAGAACTGTCCGCCGGTGATGAGGAGGCCGTTGGTGCTGACGAGGGCTCCTCTGATTCTCGCTGGCGATGCCTCGGAAATGTAGAGCGGCGATGTCATGGACGCCATTCCGACCCCAAATCCGACCAAGATTCTTCCGATGATGATGACCCATGGGGTGGGAGCGATGGCCATGACTATGGCTCCGATGAAGAAGAGGACGTCCGCGATGAGGATCGATATTTTCCGGCCAAATTTGTCGTTGATCCATCCTCCGATGGCGGCTCCGACGATGGCGCCGGCCACTGCCATACTCACGATGGTTTCCTGAAGCCATGTTTTCTTCTCCACTTGTTCGAAATCATCTTTGATGTAAAGAAGCGCACCAGAGATCACTCCTGCATTCCATCATCAAACATGGCGTTGCGCCAATCAATCACTCTGTATACATATATGTATATACATGTATGTATGTATATATATATGTAAAGATCCGAGGGAATTAACCAGTGTCGTAGCCGAAGAGGAGACCGCCGATGCCGGCGGAGAGGGCAAGACGCATAATGTAAGGAGTCTGCCATGTCGTCCTCCAACACTCAGTGAACTCTGTCTTGTCCGCTTTCACTACTCCACCTTCCACCATCGCCGGAATATTCCTTCCCACTCTCTGATCTGTCGCTAGATTTTGCTCTCCTCTGATTCCTGCGAATTAAAAACTTTTACCCTAAACCCAGAATTCAGACCAAGTGATTATCCACTTATCCAACAATCTCCAAAGACATCAATCTTAAAATCATTAAAGCCCATAATCATACATGCAAATCAACAACAGATCAGAGTGTGGGATGATCCAACTCACCAGAAGAAGATTAGATGGATTAATTATTTATTTTTTTTGGTCGAAATGTTTAGAGGGTTTGGTGTGAGCTGCAATCTTATATTTATAGAAGATCTCAAAAAGAACAGAGGGGAGAAGAAGAAGACGATTCCAGTGGAAACCCCTCCGGGGATGGATAGAGAGAAAAGGCCGATTGTGGATTTTATCCCTTTTTTAACCATAATTACCCAACTCACACACACGGGTTAATCCTCCTCGCTGTAAATCTGGACGGTTAGATTTTCACGGGATTCTCATGTAAATTTCAATAAGTAACTGAAAATAATTAGGATCCGAGTTTTTAAATCACTTGTAATCGCCAAGGATAATCTTTGCTAATTTTGTGATGCTTTTTTTTCCTTTTATAGAATTTCCCCTGTTAGTACGCCTCTAATCTCGGTAACAGGTTCTGTTTAAATCATTTTATCGCGAAATTTTGTGGGGGGAAAATTACTCGAAATTATGGATGGATATATCAAAACATATCTACACAAAAACATTATCCAGATAATTATGATTTACCCGTGAAATGAAATCTCTCGTTGTCTATTTATCTTATCTCAAGAAAATAGTACATGATGATATCCTCTTTACAAGGGTTTAACTTTAGATATCCTAATTCATCTGAAAAATATTAAATTTTGAGTCTTAAGTTGTATTAGTCAAAAAAATAGATTTTTGGGTCGGGTTCAAATCCTACTCAGGCCGACTCGAAAATCCGATAATTTTTTTTAAAAAAAAAATCTTAATAAAAATAAAAATAAATTTACAAAGGAATTTGACCGAACCGGTTCGAATCGATCGAGTTCGAATTCTATAGGGTTTTAGATTTTGCTATATAGTTCCGGAAAAAAAAATCGGATCGGCCCGAACCCGATCCCAAAACCCTCGGATCAAGTGCGGATTCGTGCCGACCCGATTAAGACCCCTACTCTTTCACTTGTTTAACTTGTTTGGAATGATAATGAAACACTGATTTGACGACTTGTAACAGAAAATCTGTATCTTTCAAATTACAGAGCATTTACATCATGTTAGAAAAGAATTCAGGTTTTAAATTTTTAAGAAACATTTTCTTCAATCACAAAAATATTTGCATGTCACATTTGCAAAACAAAACAAAGAAAGCCCCCTCAAGACTACCACAGACAGAGGGGTAATTATGTCCATAAAACAAGAAAAAGCGAATTCGAGCATTCTGCACGTTCGGTTTGGGGTAAAAACATAATTGGATATAGATTCGAATCTCATAAGCAAATGGGAAAAAGAACAAATAAATGCCTTGGAACCTTAAGCTTTGACCCATCATCATCAACACTGGCCCATAAGAATTATTATTGTTTACATTGTTTTCCCTTTAATTGTTCATTTTCATTTCATTAAGGAAAAAAAAAAAGAGAGGGTTTTGGGTTACCTTGGCAAGATAGAGAGATATTCTCTATATCGCTTGCAGGAACCCTTGATGTTGAAATTTCTTCTTTTTGTCTTTGGGATTGAGGAATAAAGAGGGTTTTTATATACATATATATATATATAGTTGTAGAGATTGAGATGAAATGCCAAAAAAAAAAAAATGGATTGGTAATACAGAAATCGCAATAGAGGATAAACTTCAAACTTAACACAACGCTTGTTGGTTAACTGAGTTGTCCTGCTTACCTATTTCTGGTTCCTAAACAAATTCCATATAGAAAGTCCCTCATGGCAAACGGTTTATTGTTGACGATAAGGCCATTTAAATTTAATAGTTTCCATTTGGTAAAAAATCTGATGACGAAATAATAAGGGGTCAATTGTTTTCCCATATACATATGTAATTTTTTTTTTTATAACTGAAAATTAATTTCAAGATCGGATATCAAGCACGTTGTATTGGTATACCAATTAGATTTTTAAAAATCATACAATAGAAAAACTCAAACCTATTTTATATTCTTATGTATTTTAAATTTGGTTTTTATTAAAAGATTAAATTTTCTAAAATATCGATTTTTTGGATTATTTTTTTTTAAATTTGTTCGTTTCAGTTCTACAAAATTTAATTTTTTTAAAATTAAGAATACCATATTTTTCGATTGGAAGAAACAAAACTTAATTTTAGTTCTCCCCATTTACAGTTCTTTTTCTGCACGTGCGGCGCATCTGATCACACCTCCATTGACCCTCAGACAAATTAAATTACTTTCTTATATAAAAAAATAAATTACATTCTAATTCAAAAAAAAGCCTAGATAAATTTGGGAAAAATAAATTTAAAGAAAATGACATTTTGATTATATTCATTGGGTCGTTTTATACACACGCCCACATATCTTAACGATTTTATATGATTTCTTCCGTCCGTAAGGAAATCACACGCAACGTTGTAGCTGTAAATGCAGGCCATCCATCTATATTCCGTACAACATGGTTTTGACATTGAAATTATTTATGGTCATTAATGTTCGGCTTCAATTATCGAAGAAACATTTTTTAATGGGCCCAAAAAGAAAGGCCAATATATTACGGCCCGGTGAGTTAATACTAGGCCGCGGCCCATCTATTTGCAAATTATAGGAGCAATTATTCAAGAGACTAGTTTTTATTTTGACTTTTTAACTTTAGATTTTTAATTTTTTCAATTATTGGTTTTTAGTTTTTCGATTTTATATTATGATTTTTAGTTTCGAAAATAAAAAGAAGTTTTTTAAATTTTTAGTTGATTTTTCATTAAAATAATTATCCAAATTTTTAGAAAAGCCAACTACATACAAAGTTAAAAACTTGATTGGTTTTTTGTAAATCCAATAAATCTAAAACCTTCAACGTCTTAGTTTCTGGGAAAAAATAGGGGTTAAGATGATTCGGAATATGAAAAACAAGGAAAAATTAATAAACAATTACAAAAAAGAGAGAGAGGCCTCAGAATTGCAGAATTAACAGCAAGGCTTTAAAAGAAAAGCCATTCAGTCCCGAAAGATGGTGTTTTATGAGATATAGATTTCATCAATGGCCAAACAAACAAGCAAGGGAGATGTATATATACATGCATATGTGCGTGTAAGTATAGGTCTCATGGCCAGTCCCAGATGGTAAAGGCAACGACGCTGCTACATAAGGCGATGGAATATGAGACCCCCGATCGACCTCCAACGGAGAAGCCTCCCTTCGAGAGAGAGGCTCCGTCAACGCCTTCATCGGCCTTTTGCTGTGTGACGTTTACTCGTAGGGTTATGCAACCATTCTTTTTTTTCTCCGATTGCCCCTTTTTCTCAAAGTATCCGATTTCTTGGAGAGAAATCACACGTCAATCTCTTTCTACCAGAGAAGAATTTTCCCGAAATCCGAAATCTATAACGCAGCATAAGATTTTTTTCCCAAATTTTGAAATCGCAATACCTATTAGAGAGGAAAAATAAGAAACAGGCTCGATTTCGCAAATTAAACGACACTCAGAGACGAAGATAGGGTAAAACTGATCGAAAATTGGAACAAATCCGAGAATCAAGCACAAACAAAATCTCGAAAGACAAATCGAAGAAAACGAAGAACACCGCTGCCGACCCGGGGAGGAGATAAGTGCGTGTGGGTGTGTATATATAGCAAACGTGAATGACGAAAACCCTAGATTTTGGATCATTGGGCTAGTGGGCTGTTTCGTTTAGACAGGATGAAGCCCATTAATGCTTTTTTACCCAATTCTTTTTTTAAAAAAAAATTAAACCCATTTGAAAAAGAGAGTGAAATTCAATGAATATGTTATTAGACGAAAATCTCCTAAATCCATTAAATTTTGAATTGAAGCCTATTTTTGAAGTATGAACCTCGATCGAATTCGGCCACATATACAGAGACCCACTTATTAATATGTATGTGTCTGTATATATGACCGCATATATATATATATGTGTGTGTGTGAAACTTCGAGGAAATTTCGCGCTAGACTCCAAAAAGCCCCCAACTATATCTATTATTGCATGCCAACACATAATTCAAAGCATGCATACATGTCCATTTCATGTTTAATTTAATCCAAATCTGCTTATTATATATATATATATATATATATCACACGATATATATTATTGTAATTTATTAAATCTATCACAAATTATACGCATATCAATTCTATTACGATCATGATAATAATATCATAGTCCAATTATAAAAGTCTCGCTACCTCCATTTTCCTACCAACACAACATAATTTACATAAACAATATAAATCTACCACGATTCTTAACATTCCAAACAAGTATGCAAAAAAAAATTAATGAAATAAAACTACCGTATTTTTCTCGCTACCGTTTAATTTTTAAAAAATATTTTAGAGAAAGGAACATTGTTAATGATATTGTTATTAAAGAATTTTAAAAACATTCTCATATGTTTATGGTACTGTGAGTGGACACTCCTTTTTTAAGTTTTTTTTTTAAAAAAAAAAAAGTGGTGTCGAAAATGCAAAAAAAAAAAACCATAAAAGGAATGCCAGTGCCACGTAGTCGTAGAGGTCTGTATGAAATTAATAGAATTTATATATTATACATATATATATATATATCGGCTTCACATATACACGAGCAAAGGCATGTGAGAATGGGAATCCACATTCTGATGGCGATCAAGACAGGTCTCGTCTCCTCCCCCATTCCTTCGTCTCTGCTGTGTCCGTACGCTCTGAAACTGATATCCAGCTTCAGATTCGTCCGTACAGCGGTCGTGGACATGGCCATCGCCACTGGCCTCTTCTTCTTCCAGCTCCGGCATATCCTCTCCGGCGGCGGTGACCGGTGGCGACGCGCCCTCGGTCTGCTCGGCCGGAGAGTGGCTCTCGCTCGGAGGGCGACGGACACCGACGACGACCACAACTTCCAGTTCGCCGTCGCCATGCTCTCTCTCTAGGCTGGTTGGGTCGCCATTTTCCGTACAGTTAAATTTTGTATGTGTACACTGAGAGGTGCGTGTGTATGTTTTTCGCGAATGATTGGATTGAATTCTGAAAACGCGAGAGGCGTTTTCTAGATTCGGTATTCGTCCTAATTAATAAACTCGTTTTCTGAACCTACATGCGAAATTTCAAGATTAGGCTGAGGGTGTTGAAGTAATTTCACACAGCACTCTCTATAGCTGTTGGCTCTCTCTCTCTCAAAATCCACAGTTAAAATACCGTTAAAAATTAGGAAAACGTGGTATTATTATTTTTTTTACAAAACCGAATTTTTAAAAAACCTAGAGAAAATGAAAATTTCTTTAAAAAATTAAAAGTTTCTGTATAAATTCTGGAACTAAAATTGAATCGACTGGTATATATTTTTTTATAAAAATGAAAGAATTTTCAAATCGAATATCGAAACATTCATCCATAAGGTAAGGGACTCCGACCAAAATACGTGCAAGGCCGTATTAGCACCCAACCCAAATAATGTAGATTATATAATAACTTTGGGCCCAAATATTCTCCCTTTGGGCCATCACGATAACCAATAAGACCCCACAATTTTCATGTACTAAAAAGCCCAATTGACTATCACTATCCTTTTATAAAACGAAGACATTTCTCTCTCTTTTTTTAGCGTGAAATTAATTAAAAATATTGTGTCAAACAATTGAGCAATGTATTTATTGGATATGACTCGTTGTCTATATATACACTTGTCATCTAAA